ATAGAATAGAATAGAATAGAATAGAATAGAATAGAATAGAATAGAATTCTTTATTGGCCAATTGTGATTGGACACAAAAAGAATTTGTCTTGGTGCAAATGCTCTCAGTGTACATAGAAAAGATATATTCATCAAGAGTCAAGAATCATCAAGTACAACACTTAATAATAGTTATAGGGTACAATGAGCAATCAAATCACACTAGGAAACAGTCCATATAAATCGTTAGGATACAAGCGACAATGAACAATGTTACAGTTATACTGTCATAAGTGGGGGGAGATTGGTGAAAGAAAGGATGGGAGGATTAATAGTAATAGTAATGCAGACTTAATAAATAGTTGGACCGTGTTGAGGGAATTATTTGTTTTAGCAGAGTAATGGCATTTGGGGAAAAACTGTTCTTGTGTCTAGTTGTTCTGATGTGCAGTGCTCTATAGTGTTGTTTATAATCAAAAAAGATTATAATGTTGCCCAAGTAGTGTTTTACTGGACCTTGGCACCTTTAAGATGTATAGATTTCCATTCCCAGAATCCTCTAGCCAGCCATGCTGGTTGAGGGGATTTGGGGAGTTGAAGTCCACACATCTTAAAGGGACCAAAGTTCAGAAACCCTGTTTTAAACCATCACATCTGAGCATATGATTCAATACTCTCATCCTTCACCGTATCAGAATACCTCTTGGGTGTGTTGTTGCTGTTTTGGCAGTTGCATAATTCCTGTGTGGATTATGTTATTTATGGCCTTGGTCATCAGCCAGTAACTGTTCATTCCTCCCTATTTCATCTTGATTATACCTGGAGAAAAATGCTGTCAGTTGTTTTTCATCTGGAGAGATAAATGAGCATGTGTTTGCTCATCGTACGAAGTTATATCCAGTTCTGTGTCACAATAAAAAGAGAGAGAGGGAGATTTTAGCTATCCTGAAAATGTGGAGGAGGTTGGTTAGTCTATTTTCTGATCGACACATTTTATTAAATGCAAAATGTTTAGTGGGTTGCTGTTCACAAATGCTTCTGCTTTTTAAGATAGATAGATAGATAGATAGATAGATAGATAGATAGATAGATAGATAGATAGATAATTAGATAGATAGATGATAGATAAATAGACAGACAGACAGATAGATATAGATAATTAGATATATTAGATGGATAGATAGATAGATAGATAGATAGACAGAGATAGATAATTAGATAGATTAGATAGATAGATAGATAGATAGGATAGAGATAGATAGATAGATAGATAGATAGATAGATAGATAGATAGATAGACAGACAGATAAATATAGATAATTAGATATATTAGATGGATAGATAGATAGATAGATAGATAGATAGATAGATAGATAGATAGATAATAAAGATAGATAGATAGATAGATAGATAGATAGATAGATAGATAGA